TCAGGCCAGGTTAGTACTCGGATGGGAGAAGGAAGCCCTCTTGGAAGTGGACGGCGCTGCCTCCTCTTCTTCCTCACTTCCCTACAAACTTCCCCCGTTTGCTGCCTTAGCAACCACCCAGTGGACCTCTCCTCCCTCTGTGTTCCCGCTGCAGTCATGTTCTGCCTGGTGATGCCTATGATGCTCGTTTGAAGTCACAATCATCTATCTCAATTTCTATTTCTATTTCATATCTCTATTTGTATTTGTCCGTTTCCCTCTGTTTTAGATGTTTGAGGTAGGGTTTCATGTAGCTCAGGCTGGCCCAGTCCTCCTGCTTCTACCTCTTAAATGCTGGAATTATCGGCATGCACCACCACGCCTGGCCTTTGTCTGTAGTTTATAAATAAAAATGGAATGACGCGATCTGTACATCCCTTATAAATTATTAAATATACTTAGGGCATTTGTTAAGTATGCTGAACAAGTATATGTAAAAAATTAAAGACTGATCGCTTACAGTAATAAATTTGCATTTTATTTTGTACTTGTGATTATGAGTATTTGTGAAAGACGCTAAAAGATTCACTGTTCACTAATTGTGCTTTTGCAGAGGCATAGACTCTAGATGTCACATGTCATACATAATGCAGGTGCCAGTCACGTATACAGAGAGAGAGCCAGCAGACTAATCACAGTTTCAAAGCAGCTTTTCACCTACTCAAAGTCAAGTATAATTCTTGTAAGTTAAATTTTTCAAACTTCATTCTTCCGTACCAGACACGGTGGCACATAGCCTTCATCCTATTACTAGAGGGTGCGGAGGTCGACAGTCTCCATGTTTGAGGCCAGCCTGGTCTACATAGTTCCAGGCCAGCCATGGTTACATAGTAAGATCCTGTCCTAGAGAGAGAGGGTGTAGAGAGGCCTGTCATGCACATATTAGATGTACATACACATGCAGTTATACACATGTGAAATCTGGAGAATTACAGGTGCTGGGCCATGTTGTCAGTTAGATATTTCCTGTCTTAAAAAAAACATGAGTTCGAATTCCAGACCCTTCACTCAGGGTCCTTTCTAATCATCCCCTCGGCATCTTGAGGGCATGGTGTGCCCCACCTTGGGGATTATGAGGTAAACAGTTGGTAATCCGAATCTTTTTAGTTCTTTCGTGTGTATGTGTGTGTGTGTGTGTCTGTGTGTGTGTGTGTGTGTGTGTGTGTCTGTGTCTGTGTCTGTGTGTGTGTTCAGCCATTTTCTGACTTAAATTCATTTCCTAGTTCAGTGACAGAGCCTAAAAATTAAGCATTTCTATATAGCCAGGAAATATCCATCAATGTGTAGTTCGTTACAGTGAAGCTCTACCACAAATTATTTGAATAGTCTCGTGCAGCTCTTTGAAATATGATTTACCATCTTAGTAATATCCTGTAGACAAAACTAAGCAGAGATGCTAGATGAAGTTCCTCTGTTGTCGAGATCAAGCAGAACAGAGAGAAATGTATTTTAAATACTCTACAAATGTCCTATTCCCAGATGTTTCTGCTGTGAGTTAGGATGCCTGCTTGGTTTACTAGAGGCCATTTTAAAGAGGAAGTATGAAATTAAGTCTAGAAAATTGGTAATAGTTGGGGACAGCATTATGTCTACAAAAGGCGGAGATGACAGGTCTCCATTGCCCACTACAAAGTGACGTCTCCCACCAGGAACTTACCTTGACTGTGTATTTACTCTGAGTGAATTATGCATGAATTGTTTCATTTCATAATCCTTATACAAGGAATCCTTTAAAATAAAATACTGTGTATTACTCCTATTTTGATGGTGAAGATAGAGAAATAAGATTGTCCCCAGTTTTATATATTTATAAAACTGGGGACATATATCTCCATATATATATATGGAGAGAGAGAGAGAGAGAGAGAGAGGTTGAGCCCAGGGCTGTAGGATTCTGGATCAGCACTGATGAAAATGCCACATATGTATTATCTGGCTTGGTAACCACTAGTCCTATAGGACTGTATTAGATATTTAAAGTGTGACTACTCCAACTACTGAAGAATTCAATTTTTTATGTTATTAAATTAAAACTTTGTGGGGTTTTTTTTTTCATTGAAATGGATTCCAAATGGCCAGTTGCTATTGTATTGGGTAACAAGTCTAGAACCTTCCTAAAATGTTCTCCATCACTTTCCAATACTCTCCAACTCAACTCTCAACACTAAGGCGTGAGGAAAAGACAGAGTCGGGAGATGTTCACATTGTCAGTCGTAAAGCCGTAGACAGGATGCTCTCTCCCTCAGAGGCTATTGCCTTCCCATACCTAGCTACACGGCGGTCATATGGGCGTGGACTTTTCTGAAGTCCTTAATTCTAGTGCCTTCCCTCAATGATCTTCATTCTCCCCTTCAAACCTCTACTCCTTGCCATTTGGGACCTCAAATTTTCTCATCTGCAAGATTTGAATTAAATGACAGAATAGTTTCCTTTTGGCTGTAACAATTCTCCATATGGTAGTTTGAATGCATGTAGTTTAATTCCCTATAGTTGAATGACTGTACGGTGAATTATGGTTTTTGGGTTTTTTTTTGGTTTCTTGAGACAGAATTTCTCTGTGTGGTTTTGGTTCATGTCCTGGATCTCACTCTGTAGCCCAGGCTGGCCTCGAACTCACAGAGATCCGCCTGGCTCTGCCTCCCAAGTACTGGGATTAAAGGCATGCGCTACCCACCCGCCTGGCTCATAAATTATGTTTTTTTAAAAAGTACTTGTTAGGACTGTATTATGAAGTCCCAAGGGTCTTTACAAAATGAAAGCAAGAATTGCGGGGGAGTTATGCAGCCGTAAGTCTGTCCAGGAGCCGTGCTTCTTGCCGTTCACCGCCTACCTTGTGACCATCGCTGTACGTTCCCATGGACTACACACCAGAAGCCTCATTTCTCTCCATCCCCTCATTTGAAGCTGTGGACTAGATTTCTGTCTCCAGAAACCTGTAATAATTGCCTCACTGAAATAATACGTCACTTAAGGTGGCAGCGCTGAAGCCTCGATGGCAAATGAAGGAGTTCGAAGTGTCATTTTAGAAACATAAGGCGTCTGGTTAATGCTTGTGTGTACAGTGTTGGGAGGGAGAGGTGACTCGGCAGTTAAGAACACTTTTTTGTCTTCCAGAGGATTTGGGTTTCATTCACAGCACCCAGATGGCAGCTCACAATTGCCTATAAGACCAGTTCGAGGGGGATCTGGAACCCTTTTCCAGCCTGTGCACACACATGGTGCATGGATGTGCATTCAGGCACACACACATAGATACACATAAAATAAGTAACTAAAATGTAAAATATTTTGCCTATCTTCTCATTTTTAAGGTAATAAATATTCCATTTAAGTTCTACTAGTTCATTTAAATATTTTATTCTAGGAAATTCAGTTTATATTGGAAGCAAGGATTCCATTTTGCAAATCAGTGTTTTGAACTGTAGGTTCATCATACACTCAGCTTTCTAATACATCACCTCCTAACCAAAGTGTCCACCAGTGGTGCTCAGCCATGGAAGTATCAGGAGCACCTCATGGCTTTTGAAAAATATAGTGTCTGGATCTTACCTCAGACCAAGTGAGATGCCCAAGTGTGAATGGTCCCCATGATATTGGATTTGTCTGAGGTTCCGAACCGAAATTCCCTGAAAGTTCCCGACAGGTAATGGATTGGGCTTCTCCCATTATCAAAGTTAGACTACAATACTTAGTGATGATAGTATTGAACAGTGAGTGTTCTTTTGAAGTTGGATATTTCTTAGTGTTTATGATTGGATGATGACTCTAGTCTACCAGCTTGCTCATTGGTTAGTCATTACTGTTAATTTAAGGTGAAACAGAAGAAATGGAACACCAACATCAGAGCCCTAAGAAAGAAGTACTTCCTCTACTTTGTTTTGGGGAGAAATTGTGGTTTACAAATATTAGATCCTGTGATTTTTTTTCTCCCATTCTTATTAAATATATTAGGAGATACTAACGTGTGCATTGCCCCTCCCTCAGAAGACACCTATGTGTAAGACAGGTTGGAAATACGGTCCGGCTGCCTCCCAGGAGGAAAAGGTCCTTCTCAAACAGCAGTCCCTACAAGCATGAACAATCTCTGTAGCTCTGGCAAGGAACTTACTAATTCCATTGATTTCAGATGCTCTTTCTTTAAGAAGAGATCTGATTTTTTAATTTTTTGATAAGGTTATTAGTTATATTAAGAAAATTATCTTCCAATATGCTGAGAAATAAGAACTAAGTTAAATGTTGCCTGGGTATTGACCGAATCAGATGGTCCTAGACAATTAGATATGGTGGTCCATTCCAGCACATATGCCCCGGATTCTAGCCTTCAAGTTACTTTAAACTAACTTAGCTTTTTAAATATATATTATTGGTTATCTGAGTTTTTGAGAGAATTATTTGCACTGCTGTTTTTGTGACAGTGTATTTTATAGATAACCTATGAAAATAACCCATTTTTAAGTAAAGGATAGTTTGTATCTCAAACAAAATAATAATGACACCATTAAATATATTAGGAGGTAACACCCATCAGTATGAATATAGATAGCTCGGCTCTTTTTCAGCAGAGTCCCAGGGTTTGCCAGAGAGAAATCAAAAATGGCAATACAAAGAATATGTGTAGCCATAGCTGTTGGTAGCACCTTCGTTCTTGTGTTTACAAGACACACACACCCAAGCATCATTGATTTTTAAAACGCCAAAGCAGTAAGCCATACATGCCTGTAGTCCCAGACTTGGTACACCGAGGCAAAGATGGCTAGAGTTTGAGGTGAGCCTGGGCTATGCTGTGAGACTCTACACAGAAAAAAACCTTTAAGACAATGAGTAGTTATCCTCTAATATTGACTGGTGGCATTGATTCTTATATTGCATGTGAAGGCTTTAAAGGGACTGAGTGGGGGAAAACTTTCATGACATGGCGATTTTTTTTTTTTAATGTGTGTTTTCTTTTTTTTTTCCGTCAGGACTTCCAATAGCAGCCAGACACTATCGTCCTGCCATACTATGGAGCCATGTTCATCAGATGAATTCTTCCAAGCCCTTAACCATGCGGAGCAAACGTTTAAAAAAATGGAAAACTACTTGAGACATAAGCAGCTGTGCGATGTCATCTTAGTCGCTGGTGATCGCAGGATTCCAGCTCACAGGTAATTGTTCTGTAAACTTCTGCTATGAAATAGTCCCCAGGTAACTTATTACATGTGGTGAGATGACGTGCTCCGGTTAGCCCTTAGGCTTTGGGGGGAGAAGAACACTGCATGTGAGATCACTAAGCATAAATGTCCCTGTTTTCTTTCATGGAAACACAGGCATTAGCCTCACATCAGTCAGTATTGTTTGCTGTAGATATCAGCTACAGTAAACAGTTTTCCTGCATATTAAATACTCATTAAATGCTTTAAATAAGCTGGATGGAAATTAGAGTTTGTGGATAGCCAGAAGCAAAACATCTCACAGAACAGAGTTCACAAATCTTAACAGTTTTTCTTTTTTTAATGCTGTGGGTTGAACCCAGACCTGTACTCTGCCCACTTAGGTACACTCCTGCCCCTTAACAAGCTTTAAAACTCCCGTGTATCCCCTAATTTTGTTTGCTGATCTCTACGAACTATAAAAATGATAGTGGCAGTGGGGATTGGCCAAACACAAATGACCTATTTCTTAAGGTAAAAAGAATGAAAAATGTTTAGGAAAGAAAAATTCATTTTCTTCTGATAATTTTATATTCCTTCAGTTACTTATTGTTAATCACTGCTATGACCACAGCAACTACTTTTATGCCTTTCAGTATCAATTAACATTGTCCAAAAGTTTTTATAAAACCCTTCGAAGTGGAAATAAAACCATTCAAAAGAAGGCGCTTGGGTTCACAGCTGTCGATTAGCATGCGTTTATTGACAAATCCCTGTGGTAAAAAGCCTGTGGTACAACATGGTTTCTTAGAGAAGAGATTTCAACCTGACTTTCCCAGAGGCATCTCATCGTGGCCGTGAAAGTGCGCTCATCACCTCAGCGGCGACGGCACATGCTGACACCACCATCACACAGATGACCCCACGGGCTCTCTGCTCCCTCCTCCTGCCCCCCCCCCCCCCCGAAAAGCTTTCAGTGACCCCCAGTCACTGGGTTGAAAGCCAAAGTGCATGTGGTGACTGCGCAGCCCAGCTTGCCATTGGCTCCAGTACTCTGTCCTGCCACTCCGCCTGCTCACTGGGCAGGAGCCTCCCAGAGCCCTCCTGGGTTCCTGTACACTACCGTGTGCTCCCTGTGCCTGCGGACTGGGGCACTGCCTGCTCCTACCCAGTGCCATCCCAGGCACCTTCAGGACTAAAGTCTTCACCTCTCTCAATCATAATAATTTTAAGCAACAGGCCTTTGCCCGAGTGACGCCATCTATCTTGGCCCTACTTTTTGCCTTATAGTACTTACTACCTTTTTATACCAGACTATGACAAAAAAAAAAATAAGTCAAAGTATTAAAAGTGTGAAATATTATAAAATTTGCTCACACCATTTTCAAGTATTTCTACATATTCATTTCTGCCCCAAATAGTTTAGGTTATTTTCAAAACTGGCAAAGAGAAAATAACCTTTACATTTTTCTTTTCATATATATAGTCAACTTAATAGCAAGTACTTATAGCTTTTTTTAAAAGATGCCATAAAGTGGTATTTGCATAGTAAAATCATTTAGCTCAGCAGGAAATTTCCAGTAATGGTAATTTATTATTCAAAAGAAGGAAGTTGAGCATAAAAGGGTTTGTCGAATGTAGGATGCATTTCCCAGCACCAGGTACTCCTGTGAGTGCCAAGTGAAAAAGGAAGAGAATGCATTTATTAATGAACATCCAGCTTTAATGTACTCACTGATTGCCTTTCTAATGTATCCTCAGACTGGTGCTCTCCTCCGTCTCAGATTATTTCGCTGCTATGTTTACTAATGATGTCAGGGAGGCAAGACAAGAAGAAATAAAAATGGAAGGTGTAGAGCCGAATTCATTGTGGTCCTTAATTCAGTACGCATACACAGGTAACAAGTCGAAAAATAAACTAAAACCCTTTCGATTTACGTTATGTAATTTGATTTCAGATTTGATTTATTTTCCTTTCTCTTCTGTTTATGGTTTTCAATCAGAGTCTCATGTATTCAAGCTGACATTGAACTCACTATGTAGCCAAGGATGGCCTTGAACAGTTCCTGGCTCTTGCTTCTCCTAGATTTCAGATTTCTGCTTTGAATAAAGCAGTCTGTAGTTCAGTAATTCTGATATGGTCATCACCTGCCTCAGATGCTTTTCTGTACTGGTTAAAAATCTCTATGTTAAAAACCCTTTTAAATGATTATGAGGATGAAGCTTGTGAATGATACATTTTTAAAGATTTTTTAATAGTGTGTGTGTGTGTGTGTGTGTGTGTGTGTGTGTGTGTGTGTGTTTACATGTAAGTGTAGCAGGTGACTGTGGAGACCAGAGGCATTGGAAGCCCTGGAGTTGGAGTTACAGGTAGTTGTGAGCTATCTCTCCAGTCCCTTGAATGGTACCTTAAAATTTTTATATGAAAATAACATGAGCCGGGCGGTGGTGGTGCACGCCTTTAATCCCAGCACTTGGGAGGCAGAGGCAGGCGGATCTTTGTGAGCTTGAGGCCAGCCTGGTCTATAGAGCGAGATCCAGGAAAGGCACAAAGCTACACAGAGAAACCCTGTCTCGAAAAAAACAAAAAATAAAAATAAATAAATAAATAAATAAATAGCATGAGTAATAACATGAGTTGGGTTTGGGGAAATGACTCAGTAGATAAGAGCAGTTGTTCTTCGAACATGAGGACCTGAGTTCAGATCTCCAGCCCCCACATACAAACTAGATGTGGCTGTTTGTCCCTGTAACCACACACGGTGCTGCAGGGCAGAGGCCGGCTGTTGCTGACTGGCCTGCCAAGGTGAAAAACTGTGAGTGCCGTGTTCAGTGAGAGACCCTGTCTCAGAAATCAAGCCAAGGAGTGGTTTAACAGGCACTTGGTGTCCTCCTCTGCACTCCATGTACACACACACACACACACACACACACACACACACACACACACATACACACACACTTACACCCTCTTTCTCTGTGTGTGCGAGTTATGTAATATAGTCAAAATTTCACATTTAAAATTTCAGAGTTATATAATCATAGATATTAGGTACTAATTAATGTAATATTTTAAAATTCTGAAAATAAGCCATTCTTCCTTTTTTGTTTTTTTGGGGGGAGGGGATTGTTTGTTTTGGTTTTTCAACACAGGGTTTCTCTGTGTAAGAGCCCAGGGTGTCCTGGAACTCTCTTTGTAGACCAGGCTGTCCTCAAACTCACAGAGATCCTCCTGCCTCTGCCTCTGGAGTACTGGGATTAAAGACGTGTGCCACCCTGCCAGCTGCCATCCTTTTTAAAGTAGAGGTCACAGGGGATAAAATTATTCACATTTAATATTTGTTTTTCTTTTTGGAATCTTAAGCCTTCTGGGTCTGTAATGTGTGTAATGGGCTTTTATTTAGAAATCCTGTTGACAACAACAGTTATTGTTTGAAAACAAGATTCACGACGCTCCCTTGTTAATGGCATTTCCTCCCATTAAGGCCGACTGGAACTGAAAGAAGATAACATCGAGTGCCTGCTGTCTACAGCATGCCTTCTCCAGCTGTCCCAGGTTGTGGAGGCATGCTGTAAATTTCTGATGAAACAGCTCCACCCGTCCAATTGCCTTGGAATCCGTTCTTTTGCCGATGCCCAAGGCTGCACAGATTTGCATAAAGTGGCCCACAATTACACTATGGTATGTATTTTTTGAAAATCGGAAAGCCGTGTCCTCCTTGCCCCACTTCTTACCTTTGAAAGCTTACCTGCATGTTGCTGTTTTCATGTGGTTTTGCCACAAGTTTTGAGGTTCAGGTTCATGACGTAGCACTAAGTTGGGAAAGAGAAACAAACCGGATGTCTCCTGATGGAGAATCCTAATGGCAGGAGTGCTGCTTTTAAAAGCTGGGTTTCGCCGGGCGGTGGTGGCGCACCCCTTTAATCCCAGCACTTGGGAGGCAGAGGCAGGCAGATCTCTGTGAGTTCGAGGCCAGCCTGGTCTACAGAGCGAGATCCAGGAAAGGCGCAAAGCTACACAGAGAAACCCTGTCTCGAAAAACCAAAAAAAAAAAAAAAAAAAGCTGGGTTTCTAAACATTCCACTGCAGCACGCGGGTGGATTTCAGACCCACCCGCGTAGTCACTGGTGGAGACTGGTGACAGTGGCTATAGTGTTTTAGTACAGAACCAAGATGAATGAATGGTAAGAGGATGATGGGAGATCTCCTGTTTCAGGTGCCTCTGACTACAGCAAGTGCTTGCCACCATGTAGAACAACACTCTTATTAAGTGCCATGAATTTATGTGTTCAAAACAAATCAGAGGAGGTTCTGATTCAGCAGCCTGAGAGATCATAAGCGTGGGTTGATCTAGGATAGCAAGGGACTAAGGGCCTATGGACAGAGTCTTGTTAGGGCCCGCCTTCAGTTTCAACGGTAGAGGGGAACAGGAAGAGGGAGGTGAGTTTTTAAAGAATAGACCGTCTTACCACAAGGGCAGTGACTAAAGTGTGTTGCCTTAAATGCTTCAACTAGGGCAGTAGAGCGGCTAAGGAAAGAAAGACTGTGAGCATCCCAGTACATCAGTTTAGTTATTCAAATACAAGACTTTATCAGGATTGAAGACCTGTCAGTCTGCCTCCTCCTCCTCCTCCTCCATCTTCCACACTTCAGTTGAGTTGGTTTGTCTTGGAAGAGATTCATGGTGCTTTGGAGAAAAGCTAGAAAGAAGCACACATATAAAACCACACGGTTGTGATGGGCCTGTTCCTCTTTGGTGTCATCCCTTCCAAGGAGGGAGTCCTCTATGATGGTCATAGGGCGTCTGGTGAAATCACTGCACCATAGCACGGCAATATGCAGTGTGAGCTAAATGTTTTTAAATCAAGTCCTGGGAATCTAGCTGCTTCGCCACACTTCTTTGTAGATTCCCATCTATCTCTTTTTCTAATGTGTGTGAGTGTGTTGCCTACATGGATGTCTGTGCACATGACTAGTGCCTCTGAAGGTTGGAAGGGGGTGTTGGATCTCCTGGAACTGGAGTTACAGACAGATGTGAGCTGCCATGTGGGTGCTGGGAATTGAACCTGGGTCCTGGAAGAGCAGCCAGTGCTCTTAACTGCTGAGCTATCTCTCCAGACCCTCATTTTTTTTTTAACTTTATGTGTGCAGTTTCAAACACCTTCGGAATAAAATTAATGTGAGTAAATAAAGTAGATCTAGGTTTGTTTTCCTCCTAATAAGTTTCTAACTTAGTATCTCTTGTTTGTTAATATTATATTTTTATTACATATATTATGTGTGAGCAAGTGCATGTGTGGAGATCAGAGGACAGCTTGCAGGAGTCGGTCCTCTCCTTCCACCATGTGGGTCCAAGGATCAAAGTCAGGGCGTCAGGATTGGCAGCAAGCACCTTTACCCCTGAGCTATCTCCCCAGGCCCCATCTCTCTTTCTTCTGAAGGACTTTTATACATGCATTTAGGTCACTCCTGTTGTTTACAGTACAGGCATGATTGCCGCTTTAAGGGTTAGATGCAAATTCAATTGGAATTAGCTGGATGTTTTTAGAGCTATTTTCATAGCCAATTAGTTGCAGTAGATTTTTATGTCAAGGTCATTACTTGACATTACTTTAGTTTCAATAGAGGAACGCGATGGAACTCTAATAATAATAAGTAATTTAGAGGCAGATTGTCTGATTTGAATGTTGCTATGGGAACGGAATAAGAATGTAAAGCAAAATTCAATCTTCAGTTTAAATAAATCCCTCAGTAATTTCATTTGCTTAAAAACGATTCTGCAGGGGGAAAGGGCAGCTCTAGCAAGCGTCTGGCAGCATGATGCCTGCTTGTCTCATGAAACAGACCGGAAGTAAGAGACAAGCATCGTGCTGGACCCGTGAGTTCAGTTAGTGCATGATGTGCAGGCCATGCTCAGACCTCCTGCACAAGCATGGGCAGAAACGGGGAAGAGCTCCTCAGGATGCCGGAGTCTGGAAGCTTCTGTTCCATTTCTCCGTTGCCACTGAACATGACCTGGAGCATGTCGTTTAACCTCCAAGAAGAACATTCTAGATCAGTTTATCATTACAGCTACTTAATGTCATTAGAGTTTTTATGAAGCAAACATGAACATATACAATTCTAAATGTGATTTGTCAGTCTAGAAAATGTATTTTAAAAAATCACCGAATTCTTCTAAAATAGCTACTTTAAAGCAAAGCCATGCTTTTGAAAAGAACTTTGTGTTTAGACTTGCTCTAATTGTGTTGGGTAATCTATGGAAAAGCTCAGTTTTCATGTAGTATAATTTATACTAGAGTGAAAAGGGTATGTCTCTGAAATAGACACAGTAACAGTTTGTCGGTTAGCTGCCCCTACTGATGAAATGCAGCTTATCCCACTGGAAAGTAGAATAGTCACATTAGTGTTGTGCAGATGTGTGGCTTAGCCAATATATAATACTTGCACCCAGGCTAACCTCAAATTCACAGACTTCCTGCCTCATGCTTCTCAGAGCTGGGGTTGCAGATGTGTGCCACAATGCCTGGCCACACCACATTGTTAAATGACCAGAAATGCATACTTACTTCTCAAGACTCCCACAAACATTATATATTAAATATCTTTGCATACAACTAGGTCATCTTCCTCCAAATTCATATTGCCTGCTTAATAATTACTGAGTTATAACTTTGTGTAGTTGGACATTTGGTCTATTTTATTATAAAAAGTGATGATAAAAGAAGCATCCACAGGTATTTGGCTTGTTACCTGCTGTGCAAAGCATTTATTAAGGATTAAAGTGACAAGTGGAATAAATGGGCTGAGGGGTTTACAGTGCTGGGGGTTGAACCCAGGTCTCCCTCATGCCAAGCAAACTCTTCACTGCCGAGCTACAGCCCCAGCCTAGTTTTGATAATGTTGGGCTCCTGCTGTGTGTTCCCAAATCATCTTATAACGTCAGTCTGCAATTGAGTAGAACAGTTTGCTTGAAGCCATTCCAGCACTGAGATTTTATTAAAATATGTTCCTGAAAATGATAATCAATCATATAAAGTAGATTCACTTTGGTATCTTTTAACAAATCATGATGAATTGGAGCAATTGAATTTAGTTAATTATTCATGAATGGTTTTTCCTCCTAAGACTCTGCTGAAAGGAATGGCAGGCCAAGATAGATTTCAGATCAGTATCTCGCTTGGGTTACCACAGGCTAAATGGAAACTATGATTCTCATTTTAATATGGAAGATAGTTATTGATAGGCCTTATCTCCAGCTCTGATTTAGACAGCCTTAGCTCTTTGACTAAAACCCAGTATGCAGAGGCATCTAGTCCATTAGGAAGAGTAAGAGAAACATTACAAGACCACATGTCTGGAGTTTGTATTTGTATCTGTTATTCGTTAAGACTTCCAGACTTCAAAGCAGTGCGAGTGAGATTTCTTCCTCTCAGGGTGAAGAGATGGATCAGCAGTTGTGTACAGCTCTTGCAGAAGATCCATATTTAGATGGCTCACAACTACCCGTGACTCTAGCTTCTAGCCTCTGCACCCCCCCACATGCTTACACACATTTTAAAATAAAAATAAAAGATTTCTTTCTCTCCAGATTATGGAACACAATCATGATAAACAAATTATGTCACTCCTGGGGGTATTCTCGGGCCCCATTTCCAATCGCAGAGGGCTTGATTCTAACATGCAGTCAGGACTCAGTCATGCACAGACCAGGTCCTCCTCCTACTACATGCTAGGTTAACAGTTTTGCTTTGGTCCTTTTAGCAAAACTAACCCTGCGTAAATCAGATTAGAAGAGATTTGAGTTTTCTTAATAGATCTGAAATCCTGGGTAGTCTTCTAAAAAGCGTAGGAATATTTTTGAGGTATGTGTGGTGGCACACACCTATGATCCCAGAAGTAAAAGAACCTCAGGTTCAAGGCCAGCCTGGGCTATGCAGATAGACCCCGTCTTTAAAACAACACAGATCAGAACAAAACGTGAATGGCTGCTTTGGTTGTAGAATAAGCTTAAAGACAAGTGTTCCTCCATGGTGGGAGAGAGGACTTTGATCCAGAATCTTAGGAAGCCTGGCCAGCCTGGAGGCAATTCCCGGACCCAGAGGCACCTTCACTACTGCCTAAATTCCTTGACAGCAGTAAGCCTGATATTAGTCATCCTCCTTGGTGTTTACTTCATCTTTTTCAGTCTCCTATCAGAAGCGTCTGCAAACAATTCCCTCACTTCAGCAACACAGGGAGTAAATGTCATAGGCCCACTTCACAATGTAGCAAGCTGACACTGTTTCCATTCACACATGCTCAACAAGAGGTACAGGGTAGTGTTTCTCCTGGCTTTCTGTCCTTATACAATTGTGTCTAAAGTACGAATTACAATATTTCATATTATTAATATAAAAAATGTAGCTTCTTTCATATAAATAGCGATGGCTAAACGAAATGATATCATTTATTTGCCTTTTTCCCCTCTAGGAACATTTCATGGAAGTAATCAGAAACCAGGAATTTGTATTACTCCCAGCCAATGAAATTGCAAAGCTCTTGGCCAGTGATGACATGAACATTCCTAATGAGGAGACAATACTGAACGCGCTTCTTACTTGGGTTCGCCACGATCTGGAGCAGAGGCGGAAAGAGCTCAGTAAACTGTTGGCTTATATTAGACTACCTCTCCTGGCGCCGCAGGTAATTAATTGGAACTCATCTATGGGTGTCTTTCTTTGGCTAGTCTGTCAAAGTAATTTATCTGTGTATTCCTATGGAATGTATTGGTTAAAAGATACTAAACCAAAAGCTGGGCGGTGGTGGCGCACGCCTTTAATCCCAGCACTTCAGAAGCAGAGCCAGGCGGATCTCTGTAAGTTCGAGGCCAGCCTGGTCTACAGAGTGAGATCCAGGACAGGCACCAAAACTACATAGAGAAACCTTGTCTGGAAAAAAAAAAAAGAGAGAGAGAGAGAGAGAGATTCAACCAACAAATTGCTGCTCCTGTTTGCAGTTCAGAGGGTCGAGCTAGCTAAGTTGTATTGATTAAGGAGCACTCTTGATTTGGGGTTAGCAATTTTCCTGGACCCTACTATAAACCTGTCCTACTAACTAGAGGAAACTTGATAATAAGAGCCAGAAATTTTAGATCAACTCACTGTCACATGTTGGTTAAGTACCCACTGGCTGCTGGGTTCTGTGGTAAACGCTCTGACTTGTGACTTGGTGTATTCATATACCACAGCCTGCCCATCTATGAAGCAGAGACGACATTGATTCTGATCAAGTAGAGATACCTCTTTTCTGGCTGTCTCAAGATGTCGATGAGAGAAGTTCATTCTGTGAAACAAAATGTGCTATAAATAATGCCGTAGTTTCAGAATAGAGGCCTCTCTCTGGTGTGTTCACAGTGGTCAGTCATTACATACCCGCACGGTTTCTCCTTTGTACGGTTTTCACTGGAATATACAGGCATTTCCCCAGCATTTTTAACCTGCCTATGTCAGGCATTGAGTAGAGAAGGAGGCCTTGAACGCACAGAAGGTGAGAGCTCTTGCTGATTCAGGCTTGGCCTTCTTTTCTTTTTCTTTTTTTCTTATTATTTAAAGTGCCATAAATGTTTCCTTGTTTGTATTAATTTTGCAGTTAATGCATCATTTCTGGCTATGGTGAGTGGAAGTTACTGTTTGCACTCTTTCTAGCAAAAACAAAAGTCACTGCCAAGGCCTCATGCTAAGCCCTCCCTATTCACAAGCGGGACTGCGTGAATGGATGGCAATTCAGGAAAAATAACATAATGAAGAATTTCTCTTGAAATCAGATTTAAAGAGGGCACTGAAAGTTTTCTTGATTCCTAGCAGTTACTCTTTCCTATTCTTTTCTGAATGAAAGAGAATAAAGTATGAGAAATCTCACTAGATATTTGTTGGAAAGATCCTATATAGCCACATAACCTGGGAACGTAGTTCAGTTCTGCAGCTTAAAGGGCACTTTTGACATGGCAGGCCTCTTACCAGCTTTCAAAACTCCTGTTCCCATGAACTTAGGAACAGAACACTTCCCTGAGTCCTTAGAAAGACAGGAGATCATTACGTCCCACACCTGGGGTAGAAGCAAAGCATCAGCAAAGCAAGTCACACCAGATGTTCAGAGCCACAGAGTGACTCCATGCATTCCTGTCCTCAACTGTGGCTCTGCCTGCCTTTACTACTTGATTAACATGGGGCTCCTGAGAGCCAGAACTAGGATTTGAACCCAAGTTTGGTTCTGTGCCCACTCTGTCTATTAAACACACCGTGTATGAAATTGCAGGGTTTGGGTGAAGGAGGAGGCAGAATCAAGCTAGGTGTGATTATAATGTAGTAAGAAGAGGCTGTGAAGAGAGGTGAATGAACACAGCATGGAGAGAATGACTACTCCCCTCCCCCCAAAAAAAGATGGCAGAGAACTAGAGTGAACTTCCTTGAATGTCATGTGATCTGCGTCTTGTGTTAGCCACCAGAAGCATGGGGCGGGGGTGTGTGTGTGTGTGTGTGTGTGTGTGTGTGTGTGTGGAGGACATGTCCAGGAAAGAGACCAGATTGTGCACTGGTGTGAAGCATGCGTTATGAGATTTGAAGAACGCTTACTTGACTGGAGCCCCAAAATAAAGAGGGGCGATGTCAAGAGGTGAAGTTAGAGAGGGAGTTAAACCAGATCATGAGGAACTTTAGTCATGCCAAGGAGTTTGGATTTTATCTTAAAAGCCATGAGGAAGGATACAAGGGTTTTATAGGAATGACATGATGTAATTCTGTTCGGGGGCGACAGCTATAAATGCACTACGGAGGATGAATTGGGGTCAACACTAGAAACCCATTAGAAAGGCTGTCGGAGTTCGGCCAGGCGAAGAAGACACTCAGGCAGTGCCAGAGAGAAATGACCAGAAACTGACAAAACTTAATGACCGGGTTAGAAGAAGGGCCCAACATGATCCTGTTTGTAGAATGAGGTTAGTGACGGTGATGTCGTTTGAGACAAAGAAGGTAGAGTGAGGGATACCATGAAGCATGGGGAAGGGAACGGGAGAATCATTTTCCCCAAGTTGCTTGGCACCTTAAACCTTAAATCCTCAGAATAGTTAAGAGGGAAAAAAATGGAAAAACTTACCAGCATGTTGGAGCCCAAGGCAAAAGAATGATCCTGGCCAGGGAGAATGCAGAAGTGGTAGGGACGGACCCTGGGAAACACTAAGACTTGGTGGCCATTACCAACCTAGCCCAGTGACTGAAGCATTACCAGACCTTGATTCCATGACCGAGGAGGAAGAAGTATTATGTCATCAGATGCTACAGAGAAGACAGATGAGGAGGGGACTCAGTGGGTCAGCCAAATGGTTCTTGAAGTATAGGACCGATGGCGCCTGTGAAGTTTTGAGATGGGCCCTGGAGAGGTGATTTGATAAGCCCTGTACTGATTTGGGTGCACACTCAGGTTTGAGAGCCCCTGTCCATGATGAGTGTAATAATGGAAGAGCAAATATGACTGAGTCGGCTACAGTGCCCTGAACAGTGTGGACGGTTATTTCACCTCTCAGAGCTGTGTTTTTCTTTCCTACAATGATAATACTAAGTTGCAGTATTGTGACACTTAGAGTTACTCTGTTGCCTGCCACCTCCACCCCCCCACACACACACACCTTTGGTAACTTCCTGTATGAATAGAACACAATGTATTTAGATCATATCCACTACCATATTACCCCCTTCCACCTCCTCAAGGACCACACACACACACACACACACACACACACACACACACACACCCCACTGAGTACAGTTGGTGCTGCCATCTGTGCATGGGTATAGGACCATCCACTGGCACATGGGCAATCTACTATGCCCCACATGGATGTAGGCAACTGACTGTGCCTCCCTTGGTGGCTATCACCTGCCAAAAGCCCCTCAGCTAAGGCTAGAACCTTGTGAGCCCCTCCTCCGTCCACACTAGAACATTGACGGGCTTGATCTTGTACAGGTCTTATGCAGGCAACCGCTGACACTGTTAGCCCTGCCATGTCCAGAACTCACTATTTTGTGGCAGTTCTCCCTGATCCCTGACTTTTATGATCTTCCTGGCCCCCTTCCACAATGTTCCTTGAGTTATGTGGGGGGGGGGGGGGAGAGCTAATAGATTTCCCAGGGCTGTGTGTGTGTGTGTGTGTGTGTGTGTGTGTGTGTGTGTGTGTGTGTGTTATAGAGTTCCCGGTTAGGGCTGAGTACTTGTGAAGTTTGGGGGGTTTGGATTTGGGTTTTGGTGATAAAAATGAAAACCAAAATTACAGAATTAGTTACCAAGTAGAATTCTGAAGTTAGATTCTGTATGTTTTACTTTAAAAGGCAGGGAAATATAACAGTTGTTAAAACTGTCAGGTGCCTATTGAGTAATTAATGACTATTTTAAAAACTGTGATTAGATATAGTAACCTAGAGAATTTACATATGTGAAATGGTGTTTTCTCAATGATACCAAGTAAACGAGATTTTATCATCAGCTTCCAAATATTAAAATTTTATTATAGTGTCACCAATAGTAGATATTGTAAGTGATGGAAGAAATAATATGTATAATTATAACCTGCTACCCAAATGATCTTTTTAAAATTTTTTATTCATTATTCGTATGTGGATTTGTGTATGTGTGTGCATGTGTGTGTAGTGGGGGGGGGGGGGGGTTGGCACACATTCCACAGTGTGCATGTGGAGGTCAGAGGAAAACTTCATGGGGGCATGTTCTCTCCTATCTTTAGGTAGCTCCATGGTTGGAACTCAGCTCCTCAGACTTGCACAGCAAGAACTTTACTCACTGAGCAATCTCATCAGCTCCCCAAATGATCTTTTTAAAAAAAACTTCTGCCTATGTGTGTGTGCGCACACTTGTATATTCTATGTCTACTTGTTTGTATGTATGCACAAGTCTCTGTACTTGCACATGCATGAATGTGAGTGCATGCACAGGCCAGCGGCCGACACCAGGTGTCTTCCTTGATCACGCCTCACCATATTTTTTGAGACAGGGTCTCTCACTGAATCCGGAGCTCATCACTGTGGCTGGACTGGCTGACCAGTGACTGGCTGACCAGTGAGCTCCAGGGATCCACCTGTCTCCAGCCCGCCCAATGCTGAAGTTACAGATGCATGGCCTGGTACCGAGCTTTTGTGTGGGAACTGGAGTTCTGAATTCAAACCCAAGCTTGTGTGGCGGACAATTTACCAACTGAGCCATCTCCCAATCTCCCAAGGGATCATTTTACATGGCTTTCAAAAGAAACTGAACGATCAAAAAAGGAAGTGGTTGTGGCCATGGTGTTTTACCCTTGCCTGGGGTTCTACTAAGAACTGACTCAAATTCAAGAAGGAGGAAGTACTACAATCATGGATGCTGCAGGGAAGACCAGCTTCAGAGCTGGTCAAGTTTGATGCAGTGTGGAAAAGCCGTTCTCATTCTATACGTGTTTTGAGGGGACAGTTTTAGAAAAATCGTCATGACAAACAAAGACAAGAATGAAGATAAGCTGGGTGGTGGTGGCGCATGCCTTTAGTCCCCAAATTTGGGAGGCAGAGGCAGCGGATCTCTGTATTCAATGCCAGCCTGGCTACAGAGAAACTCTGTCTCAAAAAAAAAAAAAAAAAAAAAAAGAAAGAAAGAAAGAAAGAAAAAAAAAAAAAACAAGAGTGAAGACTACACCATCAAAATGTCTGATTTTCCAGAGACTTTTATTCTAATGGTTTGCCATTGTTTATGGCAGACAGGCATTCATTAAAAAAAAAGTGAGAGTGTATTAGAATCAATATTTTATAGTTTAGCCAGTCATAATAGTTTCCTGAACAATAGCTTACCTGCTACATTAATACTTGATTTTTGGTGTTCTTGAATAAATTACTTTATAATTTTTCTATTCCCACTTCTTTACTTAAATATAACTAACTAATCCTGTTTTAATAAACTACAGAACTTATCAGCATGTTAAAAATGTCTTACTTCAAATTGCAGTTACTATAAAAATCTCCTGAGACTTTACTTCCTATGTTTTATTTCACATTTATTTTATTTAAAGAGCACTAAGGTAATTATATCAGAAGTAAAACCAGCACTAACATTAATCTAAATGAGCCAACTCAATGCATATGCACTGATGGCTTCTGGGGTAAGTTTATGTTTTGTGTGTACGGGAAAAACTGGCCCAGGTCGCGAGACTCGTGTCTTACTGAGATTATTTTGTCTTTGGCTTATGATGCATGCTTATCGAATGCCACAGGCTTTTTGTTGTTGCTGTTGTTGTTTGTTTGTTTGTTTGTTTGTTTTGTATTTTGACATAGGGTTTCTCTGTGTAGCCTTGGCTGTCCTGGAAGTAGACCAGGCTGGCCTTGAACTCAAAGATCTGCCTGCCTCTGCCTCCTAAATGCTGGGGTTAAAGGCATATGCCACCATCGCCCAGTGACACAGGCTTTTTTATGGTAACTTCTGTTGGAGATTTCATTTCTCTTCAGTTATCTAAGCCTGAACATATTCTCAGCATCGTTAGCCATTCAGGAAATGCAAAGTAAAGCAGACTCTTCTATTTACCAGCTAGCTAAAATGGGTGTGGTTGGGAGGGTGTGTGGAGACAGAAACCTTATAAGGTGCTGGTGGGGATGGGAGTGTGGTGCAGATGCTCTGAAAAGCAGTTTTGAGGTTTAATGTTAAGGATAATTTTAGCTAGTTATCTAAGAGAAATCAAAGTACGTCCACACAGTGATGTGCACATTATTTTCTTGGCAGTTTTGTTTATAATCACTCCATACAGGAGACAACCTAGGTGTCCATCAGTTGCTGGATGGGTAGAGTGAAAGAGTCAGTAGACTATTATTCAGCAGCAAAGAAGCAAAACTGATACGTGCTACATCATGGACAAGCCTAAAGAATGTGCTGAATAAAAGAAGCAAGACATGGAGGGCATGTATGAGTTTGTTTCCATGAAATAGGCAGACAAGGCAAATCTGTGTGGATAGATGACTGTTTGAGACAGGAGGTGGCAGGCGGGCATGGTAGTTCACAGGACTGGGTGGGGCTCAGGGATCTACCTGAGCTGAAAGACATGCACCAGACCTATCCACTTGCTGCATTTACTAAAGGTCAGCTAATTGGATTAAGTAAGATATGTCCCCTCTGCCCTCCAGGCTAATTGATAGACTAGGGTTCCACTATGTTTTAAAGGGTAATACACTGTGGCCAGGGAAATTTTTTCTAAGAACAACAGCAAAAGGACAATTATCAGGCAATCTATCAGAAAATCATTACATCACTAGCTTAAAAGAAAAATTATTCTTTCTTTTGTATGATCTTATCAATAGATGTGTGAAAGATATTTGAGGAAAAATTGGTAACAGTTCTTAATTTGAAATACCAAAGTAGGGAGACAAGGACACAGCCTAAATAAAAATGGACCTCACAACGCTGTAGCATCTACAGTCTGGAACAGGAAAACGCTAATACCACCTGAACGCCAACCGGAAGCAGAGAGGCTCCATTTTACCCAATTATTTACCATTACATTGAAGGTTTGGACAATGTGATAAACCCATAAACTGAAATCATTGGTGTCCATCCAGAAAAAGATGCCATACTATTCCTGTTCAGTGATGAGTGGATTTATAACAGCTAGAGCTTAATGAGTGTGGTCAAGTACCAGGCTAAAATACAAGTTATAACAACCAGTAGATTTTTTTTCTTCTCCAGCAAAACATAAAAAATTAAAGCTTAATAGAGTAAAATGGTAATCAAAATAATTACATATGAAGATTAAATTTAATAAAACGAAGGCAAAGGCAGTAAAGAAAGTCATACACGTGAAAAGGCCTCTTGAACAGACCTAATATAAAATATATATCTCCCTAATTAATAAAAGAATCTTGGTGCAGTTCACCCTAAAATAAGAACCAAGATAATAAAAAAAGAACTAGATGACTCTTAAATTGACATGGAAAACTAAACCCCAGATAGCTAAGAAAACCATGAAACTTGATGAGGGGAGACTGAAAATATCAGATTTCAGAACGTGCTATTACAGCATTAAAAATCTGGTTGTGGCAGCTCCTGCCTATAGTGTCAGCACCTGGAAGGCTGAGGCAGGAGGACCAGGAGTTCAGGGCTAGCCTGGGCTACATAGTGAGTTCAAGGCCAGTCTATGTGAGTTCCTGCCTCAGAAACAACACAAACAGGGCGGCGGGGGCCGGGGGGAGGTGATGCACAGCTTTAATCCCTGCACTCAGGAGGCAGAGGCACTAATAAGTCGGCGTGGTGATCCCTGCCTATAATTTCAATACGTGAGAGGCTGAAACAGGAGAATGAGGAGTTCAAGACTAGCTTGATCTAGACCATAAATTCCAGGCCAACCGGGGCCACACAATAAGACCCTGTCTCAAAACTAAAATCAAATCCTAGGGATAAGCAGGTCAGTAGAACAGAGCAGTGAACTAAGAAGTGTATCGTATATGTCTTTGTTGTACGTACACCCTGTTCTTCTCTAGTTCCTGGCAGACATGGAAAACAATGCACTTTTTCGGGATGACATAGAGTGTCAGAAGCTCATTATGGAAGCAATGAAGTATCACTTGTTACCTGAGAGACGACCCATGTTGCAGAGTCCTCGGACAAAGCCTCGGAAGTCGACTGTGGGAACGTTATTTGCAGTTGGAGGAATGGATTCAACCAAAGGTACTGGACAGTCTTTGATCTAGAGGAACGGAGGGTAATATGTAATACTGCCGAGAGACCCTGTTGGTTCAGGCTGGTGCAGGGACAAGGACGGGAAAAGATGAGCCTGGAGAACAATTCTAGTGCCAGAAAGTATCCAAGGAATGGTAGGGGCAGGTCAAAAGACAGAGAAAACATCTTGTTGGGAGATTCCATTGAGTCCAAAGTCACTTGAGCATCAAAGTAAGTAACTGTAGTAAATGAAGATAATGTAAAAGCAGAGTCTCCACAAGTTCACGGTGACACAAAGAAAGAAAGGAAAGCGATTTCTTTCAGTGGAGCGCCAGCTGATGTAGAAAAAAAGACGGGATTAGGAACAAGTATTTAGTGTGGGCTAGGAATCCAACTCAGTGAGAACACTCACTTCACATGCATGATGCACTGGTTCAATCCTGCGCGCGCTCACGCACACACACACACACACACACACACACACACACACACGTGCATGCATGCTCATGCAAGCACTCAGAGAAGGAAAGAAAGATTATCCATTTGGCAACCACTAAAATACAACATCTCTAATCTGAAATTCAGAAATTCTTGCAGAAGACATAACACTCAAAACATTTCAGATTTTAGAGCATTTATCTCCCAGCTTAGTTGCTACAAAAGATAAAATGATGTCTTAACAAATACTGAGAACTGACACATAACACTTATCCAAGGGACCAAAGCTCACGTCGCCAGTGCTGAGACCAAGCAGCCAGTGCTCTGATAGGACCACTCTCCAGAAGTCAGCAGCCAAAAGCATCACCTGAATCATGGGGAGAACGCAGGTCCAAACTGGGACCTACAGAGTAACTTTTCTGTCCGTGGTATTAAAACATGCCAATGTCATAAAATATACTTGCAAATCCAGAGTTCAGAGGCCAGCAAGATGATGCCACCGTTAAGAAGCATCCCTTGGTGCCACTGCAGGGAACCAGGGTTTATTCCCAGCACCCACATCAGATGGCTCCCAACAACTCAAGCTTCAGGGCATCTGAAACCGTCTGGCCTCCAAAGGCATCTACACAAGTGTGCATGTGCACACACAAAGAGACACACATACACACATATACATAATTAAAAAAAAAAAACTAAAGCAAAAGATCCGACTTGATTCCAGATTATGGGAACTTAGAGGAAAAATATCAGCTATTCTAAATATTGTCTTGGTTTTGTTGTTGTTTTGTTTTGCCACAGAGGTCATGATTGAGACTGAAGACAACATGCTAAATAATAGCACTGTAAATGTTAATTTCCAGGTGTTGATGGTTGGTTGTTTTGTAGTTTTTTAAAGAGAATTTCTTGTTCCAAAGAAATATTTAGGGCTCCAGGGTCATCATTTCTGTGATTTACTCTTAAACAATTGAGAAAAAAAATCTGTGCATGCATGCATGCATACATACATACATACATACATACATACAAACAAACGAAAGCTAAACACAAACATTTGGGAACCTTGGTTAAGGTGGCTGGCAAATCTCTGGACCATACTGGCACCAATCGTTGCTAATAGGAGCTTGCTGTGTATTTGAAAGCTCATACATATCTGCCCATAGAGCTGGTGTCTGCAGCCCCTGGCAAACTCATCTCACATGCCAAAGCATAGTTCTACACACCAAGGATGCTATGTTAGACGTTCTCATCACTTCACTCAGACAGCCTCTCACATGTCAGCTTGCCACAGAGGCTTCCCATGGCTCTTGGTAGCAGCCTCTTGCCTGCCACTTTCAGGCCCTTTCCCACCTTTTTTCCACTTAATCTCATTACTCTGCATTACATTTCTTCACAGTATCTGATACATTTATTTATGGTCTCTTTACCTCTTCCTACCCCCAGTAAGTAGAAAAGCATGGGGAGGTCGTCAGCAATGGTGGCTCTGATGTTCTAATGCTACAACCCGTGGAGTAAGTGTTCACTGCGGTGGGGGTCCTTTGTAAGGGCAGAGCTGGCTGTTATATTAGCAACTTCAAGAGAGAAAAGGACTCAAACTCTACATAATTGGGAGTCGGTTGTTTTGTTGTTTGTTTTTAGAAGGGTAATGTTTTCTGTTGTTTGTTTTCCTAAATCTCCACTGGTCCCACATCTTGAAGAGAACCAAAGAGTTCTAGAATTTTCCAGAGGTAAACCCTATGGGCAGTAACTCCCTTCACATCCCACAGTCCAGTTCCCAAATGACCCTCGTCCTTCCTCCTTGCTGGGGATGGTGCCCGTCCCTTGTATGGGAGTCAGGCCCACGCATGCCCGTTCTGTTGTTACTGCTCTTTCCTCCTTCCCCAGAATGTCACATAACAACTGCTTCCTCCTCATCGGTTCCCGTCCTCTCAACTAGACCCTTCCCATTACATCCATGAACCAACCCCAGAGTCCCAGATCAACAGGGACCCAAAGTCCTCCTTCATCTGCCTAGGAATCCCTGTCCTCACAGTGGCCAGACTTCTCAGAATCATCCTCTGTGGAGCTCCCGGCCTGCATTTCCTCCCCACATCGGCCACCCAAACAAGGAAGGCTCCCGGAAGTCCTCGGTGACCTCCGTGCAGCTGAGCCCTGGGCCTTCTACCTTTTCTTTGTTCTTCTTGGCGAGTTTGAGACTGTTAGTGGAACTAGCTGCTGTAAACTTAGTATCTCTGGCTTCCCTGATGCTAAGCTCCCTGCGTTTCCTCGCACTTCTGAGTGTCTTCTCAGCCTCCTTGAACAGAGAGCCTTTCCTGTTGGACCTTTTACTACAGGAGTGTACCTGGGAGAATGATAGAAAAGGTCATGGGGGTAAGCAGGGCCATACTGTTGGAGTGTTGCTATTGATGCTAATAAAAACCTGTATGCTTTGGGGCTAGGGAGACAGCTCTGTTGGTAAAGTGCATCTCCTTGCAAGCATGAGGACCTGAGTTCGGATCCCCCAGAAGCCACATGCAGCGCCGGCACACGTGTAATCCCAGGGCTGGAGAGGCAGAGACAGGTCAGCCTAATCTAACCAAAACAGTGAGTCCCAGGTTCAGTGAGCCACCTCCGGACAAACAAGGCTAAGAGTGACAGAGGAAGATACCACACATCAACCTCTGACTCACACTCACACATGTGCACAAGGGTGTGTGTGTGCACACAGGAACATACACTGACCCCACACACGGAAGATGAAAGTCTGCCTCTGTGTGTGTGTGTCACTTAGTCACGATGGGGCTTGTCGTCACGTAACTCTCTTTGTTACTGTTAAGGAGCGACGAGCATTGAGAAGTATGATCTCCGTACAAACATGTGGACTCCCGTGGCCAACATGAATGGGAGGAGGCTGCAGTTCGGTGTTGCCGTGTTGGATGACAAACTGTACGTGGTTGGAGGGCGCGATGGACTGAAGACTCTGAACACCGTGGAGTGCTACAACCCCAAAACGAAAACCTGGAGTGTGATGCCGCCCATGTCCACACACAGGCACGGGCTTGGTAAGTGTATCTGCAGACCCACCCACTTAGAAAGCCAGGCTGCCACTACATTTTTACCCTCTGTACCAGGCAGAAGACCGATGCATGGGCTCAGCCGACACCCGTTGCCAAGCATCCCTCATACCTGAGAAGCAGAAACCGGAACACAAGCACTTACATAAACGTGGCAACAACTGGGACAGCAGAAAGCACGGGGTCTAAGGGCGTTAGCAAAGCATGATGGGATGACAAGCCCTGCTCTTACATTTGTGCTTTGTGTTGGCAGTTGATGTTATGTAACCTCGTTAAAATACTCATTAAAACTAGAGTTATTTCCATATGCATATGAAAAACAATAGTGATAAATGGTATATATGTGTGTGTATATATATATATATGTATGTGTATATATATGGTTTTTAAGCAGAAGTGAGTGAATTCACACACACACATCAAAATTGAACATAGTACAGACATTTTATTCTATTTTTATGTGTCTATTTTTTATGTTTTTTTTTTATATGTGCACCACTTGTATGCAGTGCAGGGTAGCAGATTATAAATGGTTGTGAGCTGCCATATGGGTCCTGGGAATTAAACCCCAGGCCTCTAGAAGAACAGCCAGTGTTCCTAACTGCTGAACCATCTCCAGTCCCTCTTCTGTCAGATAGCTCACTGAGCAGACAATGTTGCCTAGAGTGTACATCCTGTGTTCTATAGATTCACGGGGTCTGCAGGGTCACACTATGAAAAAGAGCTTCTGGCCATGTCAACTTATCGCGGTCTGGAAAAGGTCTGAAACCTCTGCAATAATTTGATAGGTCATTACAGAAGATGGATGAGAAGCAGTGAAGGCAGGTTGAGTCTAGCTCACGTAGGTTGTACTGTACTCAGTTTATAACTACGGAGCCCCAGAGTCAGGGCTGCCACCGAACTAGCCCTGGAAATGGAAAGAAAGCAAGGCCCATTCTTTATCCTGCAGGAATTGATGGTGCATGAACAGGACAAGCGAATTTAGGGAACTCTGTCTTCTCTAGTGAAACGAGAAAGAATTATTAGCTAAGAGCGGAGGGATGCAGAAATGAAATTGGGGTTTGATGTACACATGCATCACCAGCTTTTGCGACAAACGAGCCACTCCAGAGCGTAGAAGCTTTTTTGTTGTAGTTTCGCTTTGTTTTGAGACAGGGTCTCATTGAGTCCAGGCTGGCCTCAAATTCACTATGTAGCTGAGGCTAGCCTCAATTACTCATCCTCCTGCCTCCACCTCCCCAGTGCTGAAACTGCAGGCCTGTACTGCCACGTCTGACTCAAGCGCAGAAGCCTAAAGCAGAGGTGAATTGATATAGGTCCTGGGCTTATGACTCAGCCGTCAGTGTGGCTCTGGCTGGTGTGGATGGGCTCCCATGCTTTGGATAGTCTCTGTTGGTTTTCATCGATCTGTGTGGGCCGGATAGTATAGGACGGTCTCGTCTGCATGTCTGTGGCAGCATCACAGGGTATCCACAGCAGTGAGGGAAGGTGAGCCCCGGTGCAGGTGCCCAAACCTCTGCTTTCACCAAGTTTGCTAACGTCTCACTGGCCAAAAGAGGCCACGGTCAAGTCCAGATTCCCACTCTTTCTAAGAGGAGCTGCAGGGCAATGCTGTGAAAATCATAAAAATCATATTTTCACCTTATTACAGCTTGGAAAAGGTTTGAAATGGCTACCCTAAAGAATCTGATAGGGCCTAATAAAAATAGATGTAAAGGCTGTGCCCAAAGCTAGCACCGAGAAATGAAAACTGTCTGGGAATAGAGATTGGCATGCTGGGAGGTTCAGGAAAATATCAGAGGGCCAGGGGTTCCACAAGATGAGCCCTTATCCCACCACAGGTCCTTTTTATGAAGCCACTATTCCGGGCGGTGGTGGCGCACACCTTTAATCCCAGCACGCGGGAGGCAGAGGCAGGCGGATCTCTGTGAGTTTGAGGCCAGCCCAGTCTACAGAACAAGTTCTAGGACAGTCAAGGCTGCACAGAGAAACCCTGGTTCAAAAAACAAACAAACCACCATTCTGGTAATCAAACACAGGCATGTGTACATGTTAGGGCAAGCATCCTGAAACTGAGGTATACCTCCATCCTGGAAAATATATTTCAATAATGAATGAAACCTGTAAAATTAGGTTTACCATAAACTCCAGGGTCATTGTAACTCATTAGTATATCCCACCACCACCACAGGGAAAGAAACAGTTCTAATTTAGGGTAAATCATCAGTTTGAGAGCAGCCTAGTTTACATAATGAGACCCTGTCTCAAAACACAAGGACAGACAAACAAGACATCCCCTACGGACTCTGCACACATTCAAAATAAGATCTAAAGTCCTTATGAGGGATAAGGTCAGAAGCATCCTTTCTGACTCCCTCATCTTCTGTCCTCTCCCTTCAGTTACCTGCTCAGCCAGATAGATGACTTGGGTACCCCAGCCACATTCCGCACCCCTCAGACCTTCCGCACACTGTTACCATGCCGCATCTCTTCCCCCGTACACGGTCCTCTGATTCATCCATGCTTCTGCTCTCGTGTGTCGTCTCATCATACAGGTCTCCTTGGCTCTCTCTACCCCGGCTTTCATTGTGCCATTGTTTAAGTCGGCACATACCTGATGCCTATGTCTCCTGATTAAAACAGAGTACTGATCCACAGGGGCACAGCCCTTTCCTCTATGTCCTAGGGGGTGCCTAGCACTTAGTGGAGACTTAGAGGCGTTTGCTGAATGAGTTAACAAACGGCTCTGACTCTCTTTGCTGATGGTGACACCAGTAGGCTGTGGTATCGAACAGCTCCAGGAAACCTAGGTTCTGAAGTAGTCAAGGGGAAAGAATGAAAGCATTGAGTACTGAAGGATGTTCTAATAACGGCAGCGTGTGCCAATCCGGCAGGGTTTTAAAATAACTTACCACTATTGCACCCCAAAATCCAGTCTAAATTTCAAGAAAGGAAATTTAGAGCCCCATCTGCCTCAGGAGAGCCCTGTTTGTATAGCCTAAGCAATACAGCTATAACCTAAGTTTGTGATTGGTTACGTTTGCATGTTTCCGATTCCTTCTACTTACATTTTCATTAAAATACGAGTTTTGGACACACCTCAAGCCCTTCCCTCTCTCCTGTCCACTTGCAGGCGTGGCTGTATTGGAAGGCCCCATGTATGCAGTAGGCGGGCATGATGGCTGGAGCTACCTGAATACGGTGGAGCGGTGGGACCCTCAGGCTCGCCAGTGGAATTTCGTGGCCACTATGTCCACCCCGAGGAGCACAGTCGGTGTGGCCGTGCTGAGTGGAAAGTAAGGAGCTATCTGAAGTTCTAGTTCAGTCACAGTAAGCACGTTCGTTATTGCACAGAGGAGTACTTCGAGCGAGCTAGCAAAACCTTTCCAATAACTTCTGTGCATGAGAGCCCTTATAGCTCAGTGCTAAGCTGAGCTTCATCTAATGTTCAGGGACCACGCATTTCTAGTTGGGAGTGAATACATTTTATGAAAATATCCACTATTGAATTGTACAGCAACAATCTGCTGGTTTAAATACCCTTAAAGTACCACAGTGGGCTGGGGAGATATTTGCAGTTAGCGTGTTTGCTGAATAAGCATGAGGTCCAGAATTGGGTCCCTAAAACCCATACAGGTACCAGAGGGGGATTGCAGTCCACCTGTCATTCCAGCCTGGAAAGGCAGAGACAGGGTGTCACCAGAGCAAGCTGCCAGGCAAGGCTGGCCATATCCAGAAGCTCTGGGTTTGATTGAGAGACCTGCCTGGGCGGATAAGGTAGATGAGCAGCAGAGGAGGAGGATACCTGATATCACCCTCAGGCTCCACATGCACATATATGAGTACCCACAAACCTGGGTGCCCACATAAACACACACACAAATGTGCCTAGCCACAGATATGAAAAATGGAAAGATTGATACATAAACTTACAAATTAAAATACTGTGATCTCTCAGTGCCCCCCTAAAAACCTCTGTCCATCATTTTCACTGCGCTATCTTTCCTTTTGTGCCTCTTCTTTCTTCCCGTGGGAGACTGGTGACCCCAGAATGGATCTAAGAAAAGGTGTTTGCTTACCCTTTGTCTGCTGTAAATAAACAGTTATACAGGATCTCACAGCTCTCTGTTATATGAGGACTAAATACAAACCCTTTTAACCCTGTCTTCCACCATAAGACAAGTCCCTGATGGCTTTTAATTCTTTGTCTAGTTGCTTTGTGCTCTCACTTACAGAAAGAGGGAGGAGGGGAGGGTAAAACAGACCGTACAGACACTCGTGGAGTTGTGATGTAAGAAAAGCAAGACGATGGCCGGGGTGGCACACATCCTTAGTTCCAGCACTCAGGAGGCAGAGGCGGAACTCGGAGTTTGAGGCAACTTTGAAGTTGAGGCAGGTTTGGTCTGCATAATGAGTTCTAGGCCAGCCAAGACTACAGTGAGAGACCCTGGCTCAAGAAACCAAAGGAAAAAAAAAGAAAATATTAACAAATATTGTCCTATATACCTAAGCTCTCATTTCCTCAGGACTCATTTGTTAAATCCTTTGTGTTATGGTTCTAAGTGCCTCGGGGGCAGAGAAATCATTTTTTAGATGGATATCATCTAATTGGTAGCTTATCTTCTTTCTTTCTTTCTTTTCTTTTCTTTCTTTCTTGCTTGCTTTTTGGTTTTTTTTGTTGTTGTTGTTTTTCAAGACAGAGTTTCTCTGTGTAACAGCCCTGGCTGTCCTGGAACTCACTCTGTAGACCAGGCTGGCCTCGAACTCACAGAGATCCATTTGCCTCTGCCTCCCAAGTGCTGAGATTAAAGGCAAGCACCACCACCACGCCTGGCGTATATCTTCTTTCTTAATGTCACATAGCTTCAGCATGCCGCATCATCACTGGCACCTCAAGTTCAGTGAACTGTCATCGGAATAGCCTTTCTGTGGAGAGTCTGACCCCAGCACTCTTTCCTATTTGTTGTTTCATTTGTTCTTTTTACAGACTTTATGCAGTTGGTGGTCGTGATGGGAGTTCTTGTCTCAAGTCAGTAGAATGCTTTGATCCTCACACTAATAAATGGACACCGTGTGCCCAGATGTCAAAAAGGAGAGGTGGTGTAGGAGTAACAACCTGGAACGGACTTCTCTATGCTATTGGAGGACACGATGCTCCCACATCCAACTTGACTTCCAGACTTTCAGACTGTGTGGAGAGGTAATTTCCCGTGAAGGAAAACTAAGGAAAAACAGAAAGAATTAAGTTTCTCACACTTCCAGACAAACTACTAAGTCTATGCTGAGCATCCATCCTGTGCAGTATGGTCTCTCTGCAGTTCTGTGAACTCTGGATTCTCTGCTCTGGCTACCTCTCCACCTGCCTCCCAACTGCCTCCATGGATTCTTGTCTCCTCACATATTACCTTGGGGTTGAGCACATAATGCATCCACTGAGATAAGCGTTTATTGGGTAGCTCTTTTGTACTGGACTCTATCTTTCCAGAAAAGTAAAGGAGTTTGATGAATCTCAGAAAGAATGAGTTAGGGGCTGGAAGCCACATAAGAAGTGGAAAGGGGGCTGGAGAGATGGCTCAGAGGTTAAGAGCACTGGCTGTTCTTCCAGAGGTCCTGAGTTCAATTCCCAGCAACCACATGGTGGCTCACAACCATCTACAATGAGATCTGGTGCCCTCTCCTGGCCTGCAGACAGAACACTCACTGTATACATAATAAATAAATAAATCTTTAAAAAAAAAAAAGTGGAAAGGAAAGGGACGTATCTGGCCCATTTTGATGGACAATGAAATAATAGAAAATGATAAAATGAAAAGCTCATGTAAGTCTTAAAGGCTTAACCAAGGCATCCATGAAACTCGGCTTTTAGGTCAGGTAGAGAACCTACCAGCAGTGAAGATGTGGGTGGCAGCTTGGCTCTTCATGTAATATTTTGCATTTAGTTTAAGGACAAGGAGAATTGAGTGCATTTTAGAGGAAGAACCGCTAGACTCATGTGTGAACACTCCAACAGAAAAGAATATGGTTCACATGGGAAGTGAGGGGCAGCTGTGTGGCCAGAGAGCAGGGTGGTGGGAGAGTACCAGGACGGGACAGACCGCGTGGAGAGGGTCACACAGAGAGCTGGAGCATTAGTAACGATTTTAGATTTTAAAGAGGAATATGAGAGGCTCAGTGGCTAAGAGCACTGACTTCTCTTCCAGAGGCCCTGAGTTCAGTTCCCAGCAACCACATGGCAGTTCATAACTGTCTATAACTGTACCCCTTGTGATCCGATGTTCTCTTCTGGTGTGTAGACATACGTGCAGACAAATGCCCAAATATAAATAAATAAGTTTTAAAGAAGAATATGAAATCAGTGAGTGCCAGAAAGGGCAAGCGGATCCACTTTTTTTAAGGTTAGAATTATTTACTTAGTAACTGTAAATGCCAAGAGGACTGGTCAGACTGTTTGGTAGTACCAGGCTGACTGGTACTACCAAACAGTCTCAGATAACAAGCAGAGCTGGTGTTGATGTGGAAGGCAGGTAGGTTACAGCTGCATCTCATCTGTAGTGGAGAGAAGGTAATTCCAGCTCTTCTCATTACATGTAATGATCCAGGAAGGAGATCCAGGAGTCTTTTCTATGATTTGTTCCACCAAGGAAAAGATGGGTGTTGACACCAGAAACACGAGAAGGGATATGGCATGTTAGCATGAACTGTCTACCCTTTAAATGATGCCACTGAAGACTTCTAGTTGAAAAGAATGAGAAGACCAAAAAGTGGACAGCTCCCGTAATTGAGGGTAGAAGTCACATTGCTTTGCCCACATTTTCAACAGGGACACCGAAGCCTTGAAGCAGTTTTACTATTATATTCATGTTGAGTTCCTAAGTGTTGTGGGTCTACTAAATGAATCTACAGCACTGTAAGTCAGAAGTTTTTAGGAAAATACTGATCTTTTTCTCTAAAATGTGTTCACCATATTTATATCACAGATAAGGCAGAAGGTAGACTTGAGGGACAAACGTTTTTATACAAAATATTTCAAGAGCAATGTCAGCTCCAGTTGTAAAACTTTCTTTCAGATATGATCCCAAAACAGACATGTGGACTGCAGTGGCATCCATGAGCATCAGCAGAGATGCAGTGGGGGTCTGTTTACTTGGTGACAAGCTGTATGCTGTCGGGGGTTATGATGGACAGACCTACCTGAACATCGTGGAGGCTTACGATCCCCAGACAAATGAATGGACCCAGGTATGCTGTTTCGTTGTTCATTATCTCACTTCTCTCATGGTGTGAAAACAACTCTTGATAAGACCCTCTCGACTTCATCCAACGTTGACATGTATCACACAAATCTAGGGGTTGGAGAGATGACTCAGCTGTTAAGAGCATTTGTTGCTCTTGCAGAGGACCCAAGTTTGATTCCCAGCCCTTGAAAGGAGGCTCACAACATCCTCTAACTCCAGTTCCAGGGGAATCTGATGCCCTCTTCTGGATTCTGTGGGAACTGCACACACATGGTATATAGACATACATGCAGGAAAATACTCCTACACATAAAATAAAAATAAAGCAAGCTTTTTTAATGAAATAAAGTTGCCTCTTGACTAAATATGAAAAAACGAGGCAGTGTCTGATTTTATAACAAAATCCAAATTCCTTTGAAGTACAAATTAATATTCAGATAAATTATTATGAACTACCATTCATTGAAGAACTGTTCTAGCAGTGGTAGAGCTGACGGGACTGCAGGAGGGCTGCATCAAAGGGAAGAGGATATCGTAGAAATAAGCAAGGCTAGTAATCAGAAATATTTGAACAGTTTACTCATACGTGAGTAATAATTTTTAAATACTCAATATTTTGGAAGCATATTAAATTTCTGGTTATGATCTAATAAACATGGCAAACCTAAATTATGTTAACAAGTTAGAAACTCAGTGTGGCGAGCTTATTAACAAAAGACTTCTCACTAACCATATCTCATTCTGGAAAAGCACCATCCTTTGGGAAAAGCATGGTGTCAGAAGCATTAAGCCACTGGTCACATTGTGGAGGCAATCAGGAAGTATAGAGCAATAAATATTGATGCATATTTTAGTCAGTGCTCTATTGCTGTGAAGAGATACCATGTCCATGGCAATACTTACAAAATAAAGCATTTAACTGGGGGCTTACTTACAGTTTCAGAGGGCTAGTCCATTATCATCATGGCAGGGAGTGTGGCAGCATGCAAATAGGCATGGCCCTGGAGCTGAGAGTTTTACATCCTGATCCATAGGCAGGAGAGAGAGAGAGAGAGAGAGAGAGAGAGAGAGAGAGAGACAGACAGACAGACAGAGAGAGACAGACAGAGAGAGACAGACAGAGAGAGACAGAGAGAGACTGGGCCTGGTGTGGGCTTTTGAAACCTCAAAGCCTACTCCTAGTGACACACCTCCTCCAAGACCACACCCATTCCAATAAGGCCATACCTGCTCCAACAAGGCCACGCCTCCTAACAGTTTCCAAACAGTTTCTCAGCTGGGAATCGTGCGTGCAAAGACATGAGGGGCCATTCTTATTCAAAGCACCACAGTGTTCCACCCTTTCTCCTTTTTAATTCAGTCTAGGATCCAAACCTATGGAACGAGCCCACCCACATTCAGGGTGGGTCTTCCCTCCTAAATTAAGTCTCTGGAAATGCCCTCACAGACATGTGCAGAGGTGTTTCCTATGTGATTCTAAAATACAGTAAAATTAACGATGAAGATTAACCACAAAGCAACTTGGGGACAGGTGACAGTAAGAGTATAAAAAGGGAGCTGAAGTTTAAAAAAAGCCAAGTTAATTAAAGCAAGCTTTTTTATTTGTGTACATGGGCTGTCTCTCCCTAAGGTGGGGTTCAAGACATCAGCTTTGAACATAGATAAGAGAAGGGTTTTTATAGTTTGAGAGTGGGGGGTTTCCAAGTGGGGGCCTTGGCAGGCAAATAGGCAGAGCTACAGATGCAGAACAAAAGCACAACAGATTAGTCCCAGCAGCCTCCTGAAACAAAGACAGGCTTGAAAGGCGGTCATAACAAGTTGGTCGTAACAGCTCTTTGAAACAAAGGCATAGTTAGTTGCCAGGTGATCATAACAACCTCCTGAACCGAATGCATGATTGCTGGTTCCTGGGACCATTTGTAGTTAAGGTGACAGGTGGGGCACAGCCCAATCTTTGAGAAATAGAGATGTAATCATAAGCAGGAAGGAACCTAGTTTGTCTTTGCTATTAGTCAGTAATCTGTAGCTGCATAGCTGTCTTGTTTAGATACTACTAGTTCTCTTGTGGTTTTAAGCACTTAAAAATGTGAGCTTAGACTTGTAGTACCTGAAAAAGAACTGCTTTTGTTTTAGTATGTTAACAAATGGATAAAAAAGACATTTATAGCAGGGCTGAAATGGGATCACAAAGTCTACAGCCACTGTCCACCCCACTGCCAGTCTTGTCCCAAAGCAGGAAATGGTTGCATTGTATTTAACAAGTTGTCTAACCGACTGATTGTCTGGTTGTCATGTCGCTCAGCTTTCACACTGGACACTTAGAGGATCCATCCAACACCTGTGTCTGTCCAACACCTGTATCTCGTTGCTTTTTCAGGTTGCTCCGCTGTGTCTCGGAAGAGCTGGAGCGTGTGTTGTGACTGTGAAGATATGACTTCATGCTTTGTTCTCTAAGTGATGGTGCCCTCTCCCTTTATTAACATAAGGGCAGTCCTACCAGTGGATTCATTTTTAGTGAACGTGCAATGCCACATTCCTGGGCACAAAGTGCCTCATTCCAAAATGAAGATGTTGGAACAATGGAGGAAGGAATGGATGGACCAGGATGAGATATACTTCATCGCTTAGTAAATGAAAGCTACACTACCGGACTGGGATCATACCTTCTTGATATACAGTATGAAGACAAGTGCGCTGCCCCAGAACAATCCAGCACTAACTGGGAATTCATCTATTTTTAGTCAGGCACATTTTATTCACATCGTCCAGAGTTATTACCATACAAACATATAAGCCTCTAAAATAATACTTTATAAATTTGTCATACATGAGCTTCCATACTTTCTATTGTTTAATCAAACCACTATTTTAATGATATACTAAAGACTATGCTGTCTAGTTTTTTTCAGGTACAATGATATTAAATATGCTCTAGTTGTGAATTTTATTACTAAAATTGATTTAACCCGAGAATAAACAAAAACACTTAACGCATTCAAAATAAGACTGACCAAATAAAAGCTTGATGGGATCTCTAGGTCCTACTGAAATAGCCGTTCCATTCCATCTAGATCCACCAAGAGCTGTGTGTGATAGACTACGACTGAAATTAAAGCAGGGCGCTTTACAGTAAGATATGCAAGTTTATGTAGAGAAAATAAATGCTATATACTCTCTAATGTTCTTCCACCTAACTAACCAGTATTTAATTATGTGGATTTCTTCTCTTTTATATTACAGGAGATTATTTGAGTGTGTCCTTTTTGATACTGATGCAGTCATTCGGCAGTTCTTACATTCTGTCTGCTGCTTCCTGTTTCTCACCTTTGACCCATTGTGTTAGGAACCCATTGTACTTCTTTGTAATCAAAAAATTGGGGGGGGGGGGGTAATGTGCTAATTGAATATTTGAAAAATCAGTTGAAAGTGTTTGTTACTCGAAATTTTGTACATTTGTAAACTCTAATTACATACATGAATGTTAATAGTCTCGGTGAATTGTTTATTGTTTGTAAAATGCCCTGGGCAGTAATATTGTATGAAATTTCCTTTAAGGTAGAAGTCATTACCTTAATATAATATGGATGTAAACTGAAGCCCCATCTTTCAAAGTATGTTATGATTAATATATTCTTATTTTATATTAGGATAGCCTTATTTTAGTTGCTTTCTTTAAAAAGTGAAACACAGTCCCTTTTTATTGAGCTGACTTTGTTTTTTGTTTTTATTCTTTGAGACATTGCCTCATTGTGCAGCCCTGGCTGGCCTAGAACTCACTATATGGATCAAGTTGGCCTTGAACTCACAGAGATCCTCTGCCTGTGCCTCTGCCTCTGCCTCATGAGTGCTGGGATTAAAGGCGTGCACATCTATGCTCAGCCAGTTCCTTAATATTTAAGGAAAAGTTTGTTTAAATCACTCATAGAATTGTATATACATTTTGCTTTAGGAAAGTAAATGCGTAAAGTATAATATTTCAAATGTCTTAATATTGAATTGTACTATACCTTGAATGAACTGTAAACAAATATACTAAAAATAAGCATTAATTCCAAAAAGTTATATAACCTAGATAAGATGGATAAATTCGTAGTTACATACAAATTATAAAAATTGACTGAAGAAGTGAAAAAAATCTGTGCGGATCTATAACAAGTAAAGAGCTCAAATTAATAATCAAATTCTTAAGAAAAGCAATGTCATCTTCTACAGAGTAGGAGGGGAGATGATTGTTTTAATTGATTTTTAAAGTATTTAATAACATGCCTTTCATGGTTTTAAAAAAAAATAGTTAGGAAATGGAGCCTTCCCTTAAAAGGCTTTTCTGAAAACCCCCAGCTAACAACACAATGACAGAATGAAGCGTTCACCTCTAGGGTCGAGAAAATGTCTCTTCTGAGGTGCTGGCCGACGCTGAACTAGAGTTCTAGCCAGAGAAATTAGAAAAAGAAAGAAATAGGGAATTCAGATTTTTTAAAAAAGTAAAACTATCTTAACAGACAATATAATCCTACATTTTCAAAAGACTAAAGAATCCACAACAAAAAACTGCCTAGCTAACTAAAGTTTCAGAAATGTTGCTGTGTGTAAAATCTCCGAAAGCCAGTTATACAAGCAAAGAAAAGTGATTAAAGATTAAAGAAGCAACGCCATTTATAACACGGAGGAAAATGAAACACTTGAAATCTGTTTACCGAGGAGGTGGCACATGAAGATGATCCAGACGTTCCTGAAATACAGAAGATGTAAATACCCGAAAAGCATCTTGTACTCACAGGTAGGAAAGCGTGTTGAGAGGACACCAACCCCACCACCGTCGACAGAGCTGGTACACTCCCTACAAGACCCCAAATGAATTTCTTGCTGGATTGAGACAGTTAATCCTAAAATGCATATGGAACTGTAAGACCCAAAAGGACCAATAAAACAAGCATCTTTAGTAATGGGGACGTGGGGGTGGACTCAGATTTTCTGATTTTTTTTTTCTTTTTTTGCAAAGCTACATTAAGCAAACCAGTGTGGTACTGATACATAAGTAAACACGCAGTTCAACAGGATGGAATAAAAAGTCGGGAAGTATCTTTGGAAAGTGCACTAGACTCGCAGATTTCCAGCAAGGATGCCAAACCATTTAGGAAAAATATCCACATGGAAAGAATAGAGTTCGGCCCCTCAGACTGTGTGCAAAGTTAATACAGAGTGGATCAAAAATCTAAATCTAGGAATTAAAGCCACAATACTGAGAAGGAGGCCCATAGACCCTTGGTGACCTTGGACTTAAGTATTGTTTCCTGGATAGGACACTAAAACCACAAGCAATAAAAATCAGCTGGACATCACAGACCTATTCACCTATCAAGAGAGTGAAGGTAGGCCAGGCGTGGAGGTACACACCTTTAAACTCAACACAGCAGCAGGCGCATCCCTGAGTCGGAGGCCAACCTAGTCTACATAGTGAGACTGTCCTGTCTTAAGAAAAGAAAGGAAGGAAGGAAAGTGAAGGGCTTGAGAGACGGCTCGGTGAGGGAAAGCTAAGAGTGCTTGCTTCGTGTGCAAGGACCTGAGTTTAAGTCCCCAGGAACCATGTTTTCATGAGCAGGCGTGGCTGTAACCCCAGCAACTGTTGTACCCGGTTCACGAAACCCCCAGAGACCACCAAGGGGCCAGTTTCCGATGCAAACACATAAGTATCCTTTTATTCAGGTTCAGCCTGGGCCACCATACAACAGATGGAAGGAAATGTGGCAGTGGCCACAAGCCCAGGTGTAGAGGGTTTTTATAGGGAAAAATCACAAGCCAGGAACTGGCAACTTGGGATTGGGTAGAAGGGGGCAAGGTGATTTTTTGAAACTCTTGGTCCAGACTTTGGGTGCAAAATCACATTTTGAAACCATTGGGTTAGACTTTGGGCAGGGAACTACAACCCTCTGGACTGTTCAGCAGGATTATCTAGATATCTTCAAGGGCCATAAACCACAGACAGGATCTTGTTAAACTTTCCTTTCCTGTATAAACAGCAGACAGGATGTCTGCAGGAGGATACTGCTCTGTATCCATTCAAATTATCATGGTATATTCCTGAGGTCCTTCCTAGAACTGAGTACAGCAGGCAGTCTGAGATGGTGGCCTTTTCCCTAAGATGGAGCCTGTAAAGTTAAGTCTAGACCTTCACACAAGTAAGGAGCAGATCCCAGGAGTCCACTGGCCCACGAGCCGAGCACAAAGCAAGCTTCCAGTCAAGTGAGAGGCCCTGTCTCAAGGCAGTAGGGCAGAGAGAAAAACACCCAATGCCCAGCTCAGACATGCCCAGAATTACACACAAAGTGAAAAGACAACTCAGGACAGAAGAAAATAGTTGCAAATTATATATCTGGTAAGGGACTAGAATTCAGACTATAAAAGGAATTCAGACATTCAATACCAAAAAGACGATCCAATCAGAAATGTGCAAAGGACGTAAGTAGACCTTTCCAAGCAAGCGGTACAAAGGACAAGCACCTAAGACGACGCTTACCATCACTGGTCATTATGCAAATCCACGGCGCAGTGAGATACGGCTTCACCCCCTCTAGAAGGACTGTAATTCTAAAAGACAATGGGCGTTGGAGAGGACAAGGAGGACATGTTAAATGGTGCAGCTGCTGCGGCAGTTTGCTGAGCTACCTGCTGTGTGACCTAGCAATCCCGCTCCTGGCTGTACACCAAAAAACTGAAAACCTATTCAAATAAAAACGTGCACACAGAAATACAGCAGCAGTAAGCGTAACAATCGAAAGGTGGAAATGGCCCAAGTGTATGTCCCCCGAGGTGGTGGCTGGATGAACACTGTACACATACAAGGGGATGTATTCAGCCATAGGGAAATAGAGTGCTGATGCACGCGCTACGACTCAGATGAACCCTGACGCCATGCGCTGAGTGAAAGACGCCAGACACGGGGGCTGTGCCGTGGATGAAATGTCTGAGATAGACAAAAGCATACAGAAAGCAAACTGTATGTGGTCAGAGACTGAGGGACAGTGGGATGTGGACGCTTGGTGAGTAAGGAGTTTCCTTTGGGGATAACAGATCTGCAACTACTTTCTGGTGATCGTTTCACAATGGTGACGGTACCAAGTGTCACTGGTGGTAAACTTTATGCACGTCTTACCACAATTCTTAAAAAGCTTTATTAGAGAGCCAGGCATAGATGCCATTAATCCCAGCACTCAAGAGGCACAGGATCTGTGAGTTCAAGACCAGCCTGGTCTGCATAGTGAGTTCTAGGACAGCCAGGACTATACACTATGAGACTCTGTCTGAAACAATCAATCAATCAATCAATCAATGGCTTTATTAAAGATACTATATATTTTTTGAAATGTCATAACAATACATTAACAATAATTACTAGGATTAAAATTCTGGATTTATAGCCGGGCGGTGGTGGCGCACGCCTTTAATCCCAGCACTCGGGAGGCAGAGGCAGGCGGATCTCTGTGAGTTCGAGGTCAGCCTGGGCTACCAAGTGAGTTCCAGGAAAGGCGCAAAGCTACACAGAGAAACTCTTGTCTCGAAAAACCAAAAAAAAAAAAAAAAAAAATTCTGGATTTATAAGCATCCCAAAGAGGACTTTTTTAAATGTAGTTTTTACATACATGAATTTTAGAACTCTGACAGGAAGAAAGGTTCTTTAGCTCTTTAGTTCAAGAAGAGAATGAGGTAGAAATTTGATTGGGAGCATCATGACGACTTGACCCCCACCTTCTGTCCCCTGCCCCAGGCTGATAACTTCCTTTGGACTAATGCGGCCCAGCAGACCTCTGAGTTTGAAGCCAGCCTGGACTGGGGCGTGTGGGAAACATCAAATCAAAACATACTTTGATTTGATTGCTTTTTTGTGGACACTAACCCATACTTGTGTTGTTTTAAATGGTTTTTATATTATTGTGTTAGTATTACTTGTTAGAATAAGTTTGTGTCCAAAACGTAACATGCAGGCTACTCAGTTCTGACACGAAGCAGTTACTCTCAGTACACTGCTCAAAAGCAGGTCGGGTGGTTTAGTGTTTCTCGTTTTGGATAAACCCTACTCAGCAGAGATCCATTACCGCTCTGTGTGAGAGCAGTAATGTGCGTGTGTGTGTGTGTGTGTGTGTGTGTGTGTGTGTGTGTGTGTGTGTGTGTGTGTGCAGGTGCACCCATGCACCCACGCATGCACAGAGGCCAGAGGTTGAAGGCTGATGGCTTCCTCAGTCACTCTCCATAGCACTCTTTCACTGAGCCTTGAGCTCAACCATTTGTCTACACTGTCTGGCCAGCAAGCTCTGGGGACCCTCCTGCCTCCACCTCCACCTCAGCTGGCTGCTGGGCCTGGCTTTTCTTGTAGGTCCTGGGGATTCGAACTGAGGTCCTCATGCCTACATAGCAAGTACTGTACCAACTGTGCCATCTCCAGCTGCTAAGTGCCACTTTTTAAGACAGTAAAAAGGTGGCATTAAGAACTCAACTAAGGGGCCGGAGAGATGGCTCAGAGGTTAAGAGCACTGGCTGCTCTTCCAGAGGTCCGGAGTTCAATTCCCAGCAACCACATGGTGGCTCACAACCGTCTGTCATGAGATCTGGCGCCCTCTTCTGGCCTGCAGGCATACGTGCAGACAGAACACTGTATACGTAATAAATAAATAAATAAATCTTAAAAAAAAATTCAAATAAAAGCCTGAGGCAGAG